GAGAGATGTAAAAAAAAAAAAAAAAAAAAAAAAAAAAAGAAAAAAAAAAAAAAACACAGAATGGCATAGTATGGTATAGCATAGTATTGCTTAACATAACACAATGTAATGTAGCGTTACATATTCAAACGAATGGAAGATACCCGCGGCTATTTCTACGAGGTGAACCGCTACGACTACCTCTACGTCTACCGCTACCTCTGCCAGCGCTCACCCGGGAGACAAACACTTCGCTTCGCTAACCCCTTGCAGGAACGATTTTTCATTTTCCCATACCCTGTACCGTCGGTTAAGGTTCCTCACGAATTCGATCAGGCTCGGTTTTGAGAGCAGTGCACGCTGCAGGTCCTCGTTGACTGCGGCGGGGAACAGGCGGGAAATAAAGGGAAATTCACACCAAAAGGAAGGGGCTCACGTGAGGGAAGCTCCGCACAAAATGGGCAGAGGAATGAACCCCTCCCTCCCCCCAGCACCATTTTCCTTTTATCGATGTTTTTCAAACTCGCCGAATGGTGCAGTGTGTGGAAAATTTTTTCGTGCCTCCCTTTCCCCCCTGGCACTCTTAACGAAAGGTCCCATTTAAAACCTCGCCTCGCTTACATTTCGACGGAAGGGAATAAAGTATGGACAGGACGGAGAAGCACACGGAGTCGAAGTAGCAGACATCGCGTCCTTCCCCGGTGGAATTGTTCTCACTGCATAGGACCTCCACCAAGATGCTTAAAATCGTCTTCAACCTGGTTATACTCTGCAAAAAAAGAAAAAGAAGGGGAAAAATCCACGCGATGTTTACACTTCATTTCACTTTTTTTTTTTTTTTTTTTTTTTTTTTTTACATCTCTCTCGAGACAACATTATCGTTATTTAGTGTGGCGGACTGACCAAATTGTGGTTATCCAACCCAGCCATTTGACACTTTTCGTAGTTTTCCCGTCGTAGTCTTCTGTGAGAAAAAAAAGAAAAAAATAAGAAGTCGCTAATCCATTTATCGCAGATAACACGTGCACAGTTGTCATCTCTGCACATGTCTATTCATCCGAATGAGAAGCTGCCCCCAATGATTCACTTTTGATTTACCTCGTCAGATAAATATAATACAAATAGAAGAATCTATTCTTGTAAATCTTTTGGGTAAAGTTGTTGTAAATCTCGTCATCCACCCAGAGGAAGTACTCCTGCGAATGGTATATTGCGAGAAGGGTGTACTCAAAGGATCTCGAAAAGGGGAGGGAGAAATATTTTCCATAACTGCCTCCCTCGCTAACGTGCTAAATGGGTAGACGTACCAAAATTGCCTTCAACTCGTTTACTACTCCAAAGTAGGGTTCATACTCAATCGAGTCAAATAGGTAAACCTGAGAGGATAGGGAAAGAGAAAGAGATGGACAGACAGAAGTGGTTTAAGAAAACATACAATGCGGAGGAGGGGCAAAAGAAAAAAGAGCACTTATATGTTCGCACATGTGGGTTAGGCTCTTTCTGCAAGCTGCATAAAGGGCATCCCACTGGAATACATTTTAACATTTTTCATGTAGTCGATAATGTCCGCTCCAAAGAGGATATTCCCCTCCAGTGTGTTGAAGGCGTAGGGGTAAGACCCATAACTGCTGAGGGGGTGTGCCTCCCCCACCAGATGAACGAAAGGACAATTCAAAACGGTTTTCAAAAAAAGCAGTTGAACGGTTAAGCAGTCTAGAAAAATTTCACCAACATCTCTTATAGAACAGTGGTGATAATGAACGATCAACTTTTGGGGAATATGAACCATCTCCTTTTTCTTTTTCTGCTCAGCGTATCTGCTTTTTCTTTTCTCTCAAGTATTTTCCACGTTTTAAGATGTTCACAGGTGGAGAAAAGTTAAAACATCATGTCATGGTAACCATAGTCCTTTTTTTATTTTTAATACTTCAAAGGCTTGGGTTCTCAAAACGGTCGCGGCGCATCAAATAGGCGTATACATTTTGCTGAACGTGCTTTTAAGTCCACGTGAGGGAAAAAATATAATCACACAGGGAGTGCAGCTTATCTTTCTCTTGTTTAAGCCCCCACGGATATACCTATGTAGCGTATCTTTATCAGACTTTTTTTTGACGTTTTCCCAACTAAAGGGAGGCTGTTTATTTACGTCCCTTGTGTGAAAAATGCGAGCGAAGAGGTGGTGGGGAAAACGTTACACTGGGATGAATCTTTTTCTAAAGCAGGGCCTCAACCAGATGACAAGGAGGCGAAAAAAAGAGAAAAAAAAAATCACAAAGTGTTATATACCAATAAATAAAAAAAAGGATAAAATTTCAAACCTCTTATGTCACATTTTTAGAGAAAAAAAAAAACTCGAATTTTTAAACATCACTCTGGCAGGAATACGCCCCCATTTTTTTTTCTAATCGTCCCCAATGCAACAGTTTTTTTTAGCCCCCCGAAAATTACCCCGAAGTGGTAAAAAAATTAGAAAGGCATTTACCAAATGCGTAAAATAAAAGCCATATGTGTATGAGTTCCAGGGCTTCATCTTTATATGTACTCCTTCGATCACTCATTCGTGATGTCAAAAACCGTTTAGGAAGTTTTCGTTGTGCGGGCGCGCCGACACAAAATTGTGAACTCGAAATCAGCGGACACCGGATGCAGTCACCGTAATGTTTAAATATCTCCGCTTTGCCCATCTACACACGTTTCTCATTTTGGTGGAATGGCCTTTTCCTTCTCATTCTAAATTGGCATAACAGAATAAATGTGAAAGGGGTAGACATGAACAGATGGGATGTGTTACCATCATGCCACTACCTTACCAACATTAGTACACTCTAACCGGGGGACCCTTCTATTATGTCACCACCCATTTAGCAGTAATCGTGTTGCTCCTTTTTTTTATCACCACAATTGTTTGCTTTTTTCTTTTTCCAAATTTTTACTTACAAGTGGAAGAATTGGAAATATTCACCACGCCTAACCCACCTGAGCGAATTTATCCAAAATGTCTTCTTAAACTATCGTAGTGAGTAGCAAATAGGTAGACCATCCTCTTAACACACAAAATGATGCCCCCGTTGGATTTTAATAGCTACCCCTTTGTCACACACACAAAAGGAAGAAGGAAGAAAAAAGAAAAAGAAAAGAAAAAAAAAAAAAAAAAAAAAAAGAACCATTAATTGGCTTCTTCACAAACTGGCAAGGTGAAAAAAAAAATTAAATGCCTTTCCAAATTTCTTTTTGGCTGTTTGAAAAAAAAAAAAAAAAATGCAACAAAATAGCTAGAAAAAAATATGAACGTTCAGGTAAACCCATTCGTTATTTTCCAACCCCACTATTACGAATGTGTCTATTTTTTCAAGTCGATGGCCACAGAAAATAAAGAAATGCAACTCTACGTTTTGCAAAATATATGTTGTTTTAAGTTCTTACTTTACGGCCGTCCCTAATTTCTTCTCTGCGCACACAAGTACCGGGTTGCATTTACACCTGTTGACTCCATACGGCATGTACATCTGCTTTGAAGTGTGTTATTTTTAACTCCCACGTAGAGGACTTCCCCTTTAATTTCTCTTTCTACCGCTGTGGAGTGAAGAAGCATATCCCTTATCCTCTCCCCTCCCACAGAGCAGAAACAATAACAACGCAGTAGGAACGATCATAAGATAACGAAAAAACTATCTCATTCCCAGTGACGCACTCCCATTTTATCACATTTTCGACCATCAAGATGAACTTGTTCAGGAAGTCTATATGCTCAGTTTGTAACTCCTGCAAATGCTGCTGCGGTAAGGATAGCATTTTAGCATACGGGGAAGCGTTCCAACGCCTCGTCTCACATCACATCTGTGTGGGTTTCCGTCCTCATTTATTAGTGTAAAACTTCTCCGCTTGGATGTTTATATATACATATATATATGCGATCGCGCCTTTGCCTTCACTGCCCGCTGAACACCCAGTTCCGCCGTGTGTGCATACCATCCACCCACCTTAACTTCCCATCAGAAAAGGAAGAAATAAAAATCACTGAGAGGACATACACGTACAACGAACTGGACGCACTCTGCAGTAACGAGGAACCAATCACTTTCCCCTGTATACCAACGGAACGCATCGTATTAGATGCTTTCGACAATCCTCCTCTGTACTACCATCAGATTGATAGCGAGTTTTACGCAAAGGACATTCTGTACGACGTGCCCCTCATAAGTTACGCGCAGGGTCCCTTTTACGAAAAAATGCCTGACTTAAAAGATGATCAGAAGTATCAATTGCCTACCATCACTTATGTATCCGATCCGGTGTACCTCCGACGGAGGCAGAAGTGCGCCTTGTCCGATATCACAAAATCTATTTGTTGCAACTCCTGCGAGTGCAAGTGCAGCTAGGCATATGTGCCTTTACACCTCCTTTTGCAAGAAGTAGCAAAAGGGGGATTTCATCTGTACCTCTCAATGGGTTCAAACGTCTTGTCCACCACACCGTTTAGTATTATTTCATTTTACCAATATTTTGCTTGTTTGATTTTTTGTTTGTTTGCTTGCTTTTTTTTTCTTTCCCGAGAACCGCGAGCCACTCGCAAAATAAACAAATTGATAGTTACAAAATAATTAACAAATAAAAGGAAAAAAACCAAAAAGTGGTGGAAAACACACCGACAGGAAACATCCATATTTGGGTGGAAGTACCCATTCGAGAGGTACGCCTCACTGGCGCACTGATATCGCCTTTTGTCGACAACGTCAAGCACTATTGAGAAGATTTCCCCTCTTCAATTCATGTCCACAGCCTGCTATATCGAAATATTTTACTCTGCACAAAGGAAAAAAAGAAAAAAAAAAAGGTGGGGGAGAAAGAAAGTATAGAAGAAAAATGGCTATGCAGAAATAGGAACAAATGACTACAAAAAAAGGCCTCCTTATGAGCTTCCATTTTCGTGAATTCTTATTCCTGTGAGGGATACCTGACAGAGGCATGCTTGATAAAATCGCAGCTCGTGCAGATCACTTTTCCGTAGGTGTCTCCGACCCAGCCACATCCTAGTGCGAAAGGGGGGCAGCCCCCGCTCGAGTATCAAAGTAGGGGGGTGAATATGCACACAGGTAGTCATCTACAAACCTATACGCGTGCATAGATGCATACACTGGGAATATTACGCACCGAGCGCACTTCCTCAGAAGGGCCCATTTTTACAAACATCCACTTCGGATGTATCAAGGCATGTGTAGACCCCACTGCATTCGTTAAATGCAAAACGGGACTAGTGGAGCTTCAGACATACCTGAGCTTGGATTGCTGCAATCGCAGAGTCTGCAGTATACATCGTCACTGTAATCATTCCCCCTCATCGTTCTGTGGAAATTATTTTCACAGCCTGTAAAAGGGTTGTTAGCGCGGGAGAAATGTAGAGGAAAGTGGTGGCAACAGTGGCAATGAAAGAAGCGACATCAAGGTCAGTGGTAACAACAGGCTCATCGGCGACAACATCGAAATGCGACCGCGACAGTAGGAGATCCTCTGGCGGACCATCTCGCGTGGGGCGGCAGCATCTCCCGCACAGGTCAGTTGTGCACATGTGGCACAGTCCTATATCGCGACTCGTAGCGCAAAACAAGGCGATGAGCGTGAACAAAAGCATTCGCTTCATTTGTGTCGTCAATTTTGGGGGTCAAATTCGACTTGGGAAGTCTTTTGTTAAGACCAGAAGGAGGAAAGAACGCGACCCTTAGGAGGAGTACACATCGGAATTAGCAGACCAATATATATATGTGTGTTTCTGTTCGTGTTTGTGCACGGACAACTGCACTGTGTCTACTTTAGCGAGAAATATATTCGAACTGGTACATGGGAGTGTAAAGTAGGCACAGCTAATCCGAAAATTGCCCTCCAAAAAAAAAAAAAAAAAAAAAAAAATATTTGCCCACCCTTGTGTGTACCAACTTTTGCAACGAATTTAAATAGCTTTGGATTTTTTTTTTTTTTTTTTTGGCCAACAATAAATAATATAGGTGTGTATGCACATTAATGAGGAAACGACGGAGCAGGCAGTTGGGCTCAATTTTTCTTCTGAGTAAATGCTATGGCTTTTCTTTTTTTTCCAAACGCCTCCACTTAAACTATGCAGAGCGAATGATTATTCCTCATTAAATGGGTGATGCGAGAACCACCAGGGGAACATTCCAAAATGCTCAATATCATTTCGTAATTGCAGTGTAGATCCGATGTTGTGAAGACAATATGGAACATGCCATCTCGTCCGGGAGAAAAACGACAGCGCGGGGAAGAAGAGGCGTGCCGCCTTTTTGGAAGACTACTCCTAGTTGACACGCTGGGAGGTCAGCAGTGACGTAATAGGAAAGTAGAGAAAGTTTCTGGAATAATCGTACACGCCACACGGTGTGCAATTTAAAGTACGGACAGGGTAAGATTCCCCTTCCCATCAAATGTCCCTCCATAGACCCGAACGTACACATCACTTTTTTTTTTTTTTTTTTTTCACAAAGTGGTGAATAATTCTCACATATGGAAAGTTGCATTTAAAAGGAGTAAAAAAAAAAAAAAATTCACATGAATGGCTCCGTGCCATGGAGGGGGATTTTATCCCCCAATTCGACCTGCGAATATAAATCACATCACATGGGGCGAATTCCCCACGGTGACCGTCTAAGACAGAGAGAGATAAACATTTACCATCACGTCGCAGTGGGGTTATACTCACTGGGTCACGCGGTTGCCATGTCTGGGAATACATATGGGGGAATATTCCCTTCACTTCTGCAGTTTGCTTCACTTGTCAAGTGTGGGTCCCCCTCAGAGGTAGGCGCGCCCCCGAGTGAGGTTCCAATAATTGACAAACTTCTCCAACATGTCCGCTTTCACATTCACGAGGGTGCCACCCGTGGGCTTCATGAGGCCCATGAGACTCCTCAAGTAGTGCACCAGTTCATCGCAGTGGGAGAACTCAAATTCACGTAACGACTCGGCAATGTCCTTTTCATTCAGCCACACAATCTTAATTTTATTATATATATTAAAACAGAGAAGGATAATATGAAGCACGGGATTAAAAACGGTATGCGGAGAGGTGTAAAACTGACTCCACTTGTTATTAAGTATATTCGTTTCGTAAATAAAAGCGATCAAGTTGCATTTGTTTTTAATGACATATTCTGAGTGGGTAAAAATTTCATTTTTCCAAAGGAGAATACAGGATCCATTACTTTTCATGCCCTCTGGAAATATGACAACGGATTTTATTTTTTTATTCTTCGCGAAGACATGTACTTGTTCCAGATTTTTAAATTCTCCCTTCTTGTTTGGGATGGAAAATTGTAGAGATAGCTTTATTAAGTCAAAGAAAAAGACGGGAGATAAACTTCCATTTTTGTTAATAATAACGAAGAGTGGATTGAGACGATAGGCTAAATATAAAATATCGACGAAGCAGGTAAAATTGGACAGATATATGTGGCCATAGTCATCATAACTGAAAGGGATTCTCCTCTTCATGCATTTTATTTTAACTCTCTTGTGGCTAGCATACTCCTCATCTATGTAGAAGAAGCCCAAATAGAATAGCAACAATCTGCAGTAAATGGCCTGTATTATCTGATAGAAAAAATCCTTAAGGCTCTGGAATATGAACAAGTTCACTAGGCTGTTTAGGAAAATCATAAAAATCAACGTCAGGGAGAGGAAGCAGAAGCGACACAGCACCAGTGGGAACAGCAGGAATTTGAGAAGCTTTTCGTGGGTACTCAATTTCTTGTTTACCCATAAGGGCAAAAATGGATTTATTCCTGTGGCTGCGTCTGCGAACTCACGGTACTTTTCCATTTTCCCATATTTTTTGGTCTCACCCGGGGAGTGTCTCGGTGCTCGCCGCGTCGCGGATCATCTGCAGGTCTCCTATCAACGTCTCCTATCAACGTTTCCTATCCACGTCTTTTATCCAGGTCTCTTATCCACGTCTCCTATCCACTTCTTCTGCCCACTTCTTTGGTCCCTGCCCGAGTGGGACTCCGCTGCGGAAGCACACGTCTTACCATGCGCCTCTGTCCTCCACAGATTTGACGCTCACAGGTCAGCCTCCGCACCGCAGCGACGCCAACAGCTTATGCGTGTTAATGAAGTGGGAATGAGAGCCCCCCTCCAATAGAGCCCACAAGTGGAATCATTTAAGAAAAAGTCCCCCTCATCCCTCAGCCATAGAAAAAAAACCTGTCCTTCTCCTTTCTATTTCTTATTTCCTCCTCTTAGTGTAGCCTCCCTCACACGTCAACCCCTATTCTCATCTTAGAATTCTGCGAGCATATGTTACTGCGCCTTGGCCTCTTACAATGACACATAATCTGGCATGCGATTTCTCTTGCCTGGCGCGATTTTCTTCCTTCCCCGTGTTTTGTACAAGTCCACCTGGATGCTTTTTTGCCAATTCCGTCCCACATACAAATACGCGTGTGCCTCCTCCTGCTGGTACATGTAAATAATAGTGCCTGTACATCAAACTGGATGGGGTACGTTTTTTGTTTTTTTTTTTTCTTTTTCCAAATGATTTTCCTAACGCAGGAAGGGAAAAATTTTTTGTTAATTTTTTTTTTTTCCTACCTTTGTTCCGCATTATGGTTATATATTTATGCCCCTATTTGAAATTTTTTTTTTTTGGGAAGCTTTCCTATGGCAATAAATCTCACACAGGGTAGTACGTATTATACTTCAACAAAGGTGGGAATTTTCTTCCTTGGAGGGAGAGAGGGGTACCTGTGTGGATGTATCTAAACGCATATGCACATGCAATCGATAGTAGTTATTTTGTGCCAACTTTTCATGCTAAGGGGGAAATGCTTCAGAAGGGGATTAGGCAACACTTAGGCGAGGTAGACCATGTGTCGGGGCAGGGGAACTTACACATAATATGGCTAACAGCCGCACAGGGCTCATTTCGCAGTGGAAAGTGAATTTACACGCGTGGTTGTCCCAACGGAGGTAGCTGCACATGGGAGTTTGCACATTCTTCTTCTTTTTCTTCCTCTTCTTTTTCTTCTTTTTTTTTCTTTTCGTCTGCCTAAGTGTTCACAACAGAGGAGTCAGACTTCCTTCCGACCCGCGCAAGCATAACTCTCAAATTTTAGTGCATGCCAAAAGATGTACCATTTGGGAGAAAGCCACACCTTTAGTCACCATGTGTGTAATGCCAAGGGGAGGTTGTGGTGCTTAAATGGGGTCCCCAGGGGATTTGCTAGCGGTAGGCATTTTCCCCAAGTAGGTAAAACGAGAATATGTGTCCTCTTATGTGCCACTGTTCTGCAGAGAGGGGTCATTCTAACTTAGCACCCGGCCGGAGGTTCATCTGAACAATTGCGGTTAGGACATTCAACCCATAGGACACCTCCGCGGGGACACAAGCGAGGTGATATGCACTGGACAGGATAAACCGAAGCGCACACAGCCGTTCATTTGTTTGGCCCCTTCATTTGTGCATATCTGAGACAGGGAAAAACAACTTCAGTCGCGGTGTATCCCTCCTCGATGGTGACTCAGATCGATTAAAAATAAAAAAATGACCAGCATGCACTGCTCATTACGGGTTGCCTAAATCACGTGGGATGCGTTCATTTCGCCCCCAGTGAGTATCACCCCTTTTGCTTTTACACATTCGGAGTGACCCTTTAGAAAGGATGAAAAAAATTTCCGCTCAAGGCACCCCCAAAAAGGGTATAGCATTTTAAATATTCTTAATGTTGACCCCCCAATAGTACATTGCGTCTAAGTAGACCATTGGTAGAAGTGCAAAAAATGTATGTTAATTATTCCAAGTGGGGAAATTCAAAGAGAAAAAAAATCAAACAAACAAATTAGCGACCATGGGAGCACACCTCCGTACGGCCACAACGGAAGGCTGTTTTATTTGTTCTCACTTTCGCTGCCTTCCGAGAGGGCACCATTTTTGCCCCCTCGTATACTTATTGCGCGTCCTAAACGGCTAACCTGACACAACAACCTGTGTAGTTGCGATCAGTAGACAACACAACTGGGGAACAATGCAAAGGTTACGATTTACCACTTCGCAAAGGGGAATGATAACAAGGGATATTTTACACACTTGTGTGCAAAAAAAAAAAAAAAAAAAAAAAAATTATGCATGTCTTCCATGCGTACAACGCCGACATCCAAGGAAAAAAAAAAAAAAAAGGTTAACATAAAATGTAAGAATGAAAAACACGAAATGGAACAATGCATCCGAGAATATGTTGCATTGTCTCATGTAACGGAAATTTTTATCAATGCTACATTGGGGTGGTAAAGCCGTTTATGTTGTACGGGATTTTCCATTCTGAAGTTTTTTTTTTTTTCTTTGGCCTGTTCTTCGGCAGGACACTTCCCATTTGGTACTTCCCTCTTGTGGCTGCACTTCCCTGTTGGTAGGACAAGCAGTGGAAGGAGCAGACAAGCCCATTTCTCTAATCACCCCGTTCACCCCTCCCGAGTTAAACGTCACCACTCCGTGGATGGAACAAGAAGAGCCATGGAGAAGAATAAGAAGATAGGGAAGGAGCAACTGGTATGCTGGGTGGAGAAAATGCTAAAGAGAAAGCCTTTCCATTTTAGTGACCTAAAAGATGGAGGGGTGTACGTGGATCTCTTCCAGTGCATATGGCCGCAGATGATGAAAAAATACGAAGAGAGATACCAACATAGAGACATGACTAAAGAGAAAGAAAAAACAAACTGGATAATTATAAACTGTGTCCTTAATGATCTAAAGATCGATTCTGATTTTATAAGCTACAGCGATATAGGTACAGGACACTTTAGCAGATGCTACGAATCCTTGATTGTTCTATTCTTCCTGCATTCATTAGTGGAGCATCACGAATGTGACTTTGTGTTAGCCTATCCGGTGACGAAAAAATTAACCGACTTTATGTCAAGTGAGGAACCTCTAAATTGTCTAATCAGAGCTGGCTCTTTGCAACTTCCTCAGAATTTTTGCGATGACTTCTCAAACTCTGTCCAGGGGAATAATGTCACGGGAACGAATGGTGAAGAAAGGGAGAGCCCCTTCGACATGGGAGGGTTGCAAAACTGTGTCCCCTCCAAATGGACTCATGAATCGCACCACAGTGACTTAACCAATGAGCTAGATTATCCCTACAGTGCAAGCGGGAAGAAGTCGACCTTGGTGAGAAGCCGTGAATTTGTTCCAACCTTTGCAGATAGGTTTGTGGGTACGTCCGCCGATACGTCTGCAAATATCTGTACAGTGAATCGCGATAAATCCTTTCCCCACAGGAGAGACAGCCTCCTCTCCCTGATTAGCAGCACGTCCACCGTTGCCTGCAGTAGTACAGGTTGGGACAGAGCTAGGGACACCTCAGAACGTGGCACCACTACAAAGGAGAGGGGACATCCCCCCCTATGTAACATTGCAGATGTTGTCTCCCACGAGGCAGCCTACCAAGGGAAAGCAACCACCATCAAATGTGTAGAGAAGAGCCGAATCGCTGAAACAATCACCGGTGAGAAACGGCTGAACAATGAGGCAACAAACGAAGATCCTATCAGATGCGGAAACAACGTCCCATACAGCTTCGACCAAATGGTCAGCCACCCCCGCAGCAACTTCTTCAAATACTTCAACAAAAGAGAAGTAGGAAGAAGTGGAATTTTGGAAAAGGGGCCACACGATCATAGGAAAAGTGACTTTTTTCAGTCTCCCCATTTAAACTGCCTCCCACTTCCACCTCCAAACAGTGGCAGTATCAGTGGTGCAGATGATCACAAAGATATACACGCTGATGTGAAGAAGACCAAAGTGGATGCCAGCTGTCAAGCCGAGAATGATCCCTTGTTTAATTTCCTACTTAACGACGATTCGGTGAGAAATTTAAAAGTGACCTGGAACGATGAAGAGAAAAATGTTAAAGGGGAATCCTTCATTTGGTTTTTAAAGACGCAAATGAAGAAGTACAAAAGGGAAGTTCGTCTCAGGGAGGAGGAACTCGAAGTGACTAGCCAAATGAAGAATAAAGAAATCGAAGATGTTAAAATGGCTCACTCTATCCAACTAGCGATGCTCCGAGAGAAACAACAAGCTGAGATTTTTTCCTTAAAACAGCAACACTTGGATGAGGCGGCAAAAATAAGGAAACACTTTGAGGCGAAAATATGCAACATAGAAGAAGATCTAACCCTAGACCTGGATGTTCTCCACTGCCAGGAGAAGGACTCTCTTCTGAGTAATCTACCCGATGAGAAAATGGAATGGAGAAAATCGGATGAAGAGGAGACGCGTATACCCAAGCATGGGAATACAGACCGTCGTGGAAGACAAGATGGGCGGTATGTCACAGATGCGGCAGATACACCAGTAGACTACGATGAGGAGGATGCAAACATTAACCGTTTTCTCTTTGAGCAGGTCGATATGGGAAGTGTGATCAGCGGAGGAGGTTCCGGGAGGGATCACTACTACGACGACATTCCGAGAAAGAGGAAATTCTTAACTTTCGATTACTGCCTTGAGAATGGAAAAGTGGGAGAAACGCCAGAGGAGAAACCCGAAGGAGAACACCAGGGAGCGCTATACACAGGAACAGATGCAGAGCTAACTGGAAGGACAAGCGGAGGCACACCCCGTGTAGAAACCCACACGAGCAGCAACATTCGGGAAGCCATTAACAAAATGAAGAAGCTTGTCAGCAGAAGAAACATGGAGCACCAAATGAACAACGAACAGATCAGAGGCGAAATTGCAACTCTGAGAAATGCAGTTGAAAATTTCCAATGTCGACGAGGGGGCCAATTCGATCTAGTCACAGAGACTGCTCAGTTTGTGAGCGAACTATTACAGTCTATTGATCGGGAGGAGGAGCAGCCGGATCAGGGGGAGGAAGAAAAAGGGCCGCCCCGCAAAGGTTGGGACACGTTTTCCTATATAGAGAAGGAGCAAAATAAAATTTACGAGATGATAAAAAAAGGCCATAATGGACTCCTAAAAAACGATCAAGTGGTGAAAATCCTCGACGGGAGTTCCCTAATTCGGCTACTCGTCCGCCTAGTTTGCGCGTTAAAGTTGGAAAGGGTGAAACGTCGCCTCGTCGGTCAACGGATGGGCAGCAAAGAAGCTAGCGACAGGAGCAGCGAAAAAGGAAGCGACAAAAACAGCCAAAGAAGTGGCGAAACCGGGGTGAGGCTTGCATTCGCGTCTAACGATATCCCAAGCAATGAAATAGACAAAATCGAACACGAAATGAAAACGGACGAACATATAAAAAATGTCGAAAGGAAGAATAAACGATTACAATGCCTCAATGAGTACTACAAGAAGAGGTTAGGACATCTGGAGGTATGGGCAAATGCCCTTGAAGACTTAAAATCAAAGTGCAAAAAATTCTACAGAGAAAATGGCAGACATGCGTTTATCAATGGAGGGGAAGAGAGGGCTCTTCACGAATTCGCGGAGGTCCCTCCTTCAGGTGACCCATCGGACGAGGCGGTCTCATCTGAGCCGTTACCCCATGGGCAGTTACCCCAGGCACAGTTACCACCCGAATGTGTATCGATGTATCCCCTTGCTTCGTCCCACCCGCTTGCATCGTTGAGCCCCTTCCTGTGGTCCCCAAAATTTTATTTGCGATCCTTTACAGAGGAAAACGAAAGGGACGCAGAACTCATGCATCTGTTGAAGCTTCTTGGTAGAGGTGAAAATGAGGAGGATGTACTTCTCTTCCAAAGTAGTACCCCGATGAGGTGCCCAAAGAGTGATAACGAGGTGAAGGATGCCAGGGGGGGGGAAGAAAATTCGAGGCAATCGAATCCAGATAAGCTCAATCTCAGTGTATGTCCCACCGAAGCATTGCTAAAAAAAAAACTAACATACAACTTCTGGCGAATTCTGGGAGATATGTACACCTACAGGAATGTCATAATCGAAGCGTGCCATTACATTTGTCATTCAAATGGCATGATGAATAAATACATCTTAACGAGTGAGGAGAAGATGAAGAGAGAAAGAAGACAATTCGAAGAGGCGTGCAACGGTAAGGACACTGTCCACATGGCAGAAAGATACAAGTGGAGACAACTCTTGGGAAGAGCCACATTGAATAGGGATATATATAAAGGGAAATATTTCCAACTAGAGAAAGAAATTGAAAAAGAGAGAAAGAATCTCCTGTATCTAACCAACGTCTGCTATGAAGAAGAGAGTGTCAAATATAAAAATACGATTCTTCAATTTAGACAAGTGGATCATAACTATAGGGTTTACAAAGCGAGAGAGAAAAAATGGGTTCAGCTAGCCAAATTGCTCATAACCGAATTGACAAATTCCTCAAAGGATAACCAGCAAGGAGTGATGGATGTCTGGCTGGAAATTGTCGCAACGGAGAAGGGGAAGAAAAGGAAGCAGAAGGAGGAGAAGAAAAAAGAAAACTACGTGCAGGCGGGAAATTTCAACTGGGAGACACATATTGAGGAATGCATGTCTAATGACGCCTGCGAAGGTGTGGCTGAAGGTACCTCTCATTTGACGTCAGTAAGACGGGTCATAAAAGAGGTGGAAAATTTAAGGGACACTCACAGAGGGGGTAAAAACAAAATGAAGGGAACCTTAACCAATTGCGCAAGGGACCACGTCGGAATGAACAAAGGGAGCAGAACTACGAATCGTGGCAATACTACCACCCGTCGCTATAGTGGCAAATTTGGATCCGCATCAAAGGGGGGGAGAAAAAGTGTCCACAGCGATGGCAGCAATAGCCATATGTACCGCCAAGACGATTCATTGTGTAAGCAGGCGTCCCCCCCAGGCCGTGGTTCGAATCGAACCAGCGCTGAACAGGACGAAGAGGCGAACGAGCGAAGCCAATCGAACCGCAGCGGAGATTATTTTACAGGAATGGACGTGAACTACAAGAGAGATTTTAAGGGGAGTGGTGCGAACTATTACACCAAAGACTTCCACACCTTCCTGAATGATGTACAAAGTAGTTGCGTCCTTAACTTCTCATCTGCGAGTGAATCGGACATTTGGGTGTCAGAAGAGGAGCGGATTCCCGAGCCGCTGCATAGCGGAGGTGATAACGGTGAGGACGGCGGCAGTGACTTAGGTGTAGGTGCCCTACGCCTTGCCGCTAGTAAAAGCGCTGTCCAAACCGCGAATCATGACAATGGCGCAAATCAGAGCCCCAGCCCAGGTGGCGAACCGTGGGAGACTCGCCTCAAACATATGGCAGAGGAGTCGTGTACGATGTTCCAAAGGATCCTCTGCATGAAAGAAGAAGAAATAACGCAAGGGAAGAAGCAAATGGAACATCTGGAAGGGGAACTAAACGAAATGAAGAAGGAAAAACAGAGTCAGGAGAACAAATACGCATGTTTACAGGAACAACAAAATGACTTAGTCAAGAGGTTAGGCTCCCTAAGGGACATCATATCTGACCTGAATGACCAAATGTACAAAATGAATCGAGAAAAAATCTGCAGTGAAAACGAAAGCTTAGCCAGACAACAGCAACTTCACACCATTCTGAGGAATTATGAATGTACCATAGAATTAATAAAATCTCATTTGAAGAAGTATCCCTCCGTTTTGTGCCTCCTAGATACAGTAGCGGATGGCGATAAGGAGATAATCCTGGAGGTGGCCAACGCGGGGGAAAATTACAACAGGGGGGTAAGTCTTTCTCTTCAGGTGGATAAGCATGCGCAAATGAAGGAGAAACAAAATTGTCTAATTAAGAGGGTTGCATGGGAGGAAGCGACAGATGACGTCTCGCAAGTCATGGCCAATTTAGAGGGAGCCAATATGTCAATCGGGGGGGAAGACAAATGTGAGGGCATCCCTGATTTTTCTCTAACCGATCTGATGAGGGATATGGGGTGGGACAATTAGCCTCGTCCCACACGCGGGTTTTAACAAATGGGCGCACAAGAAGGGGGAAAAAAGAAGAATTTACAGCAACATAATTTGCATCGTTGTGTCACTTTTGTGCACTTCCATTTGGACATTTGCTTCCTTTTTTTTTGTTTTTGGAATGCTCTCTAGTGGCGTTTTTTTTTGGCGCCGCTTGAAGGGCTATCTCCTCCTTGAAGAAATAAAGAGAGGTAACTTTATGTCTCTTACTCCATTGCGCAGATTAAGGGGAGTAGAAAATTACATTTTGTAAGGTTAATTATTAAAAAGTTTTTTTTTTTTGGTGTGCAGTAGTTCTACACGGGGAAAATACTGCACAACGTACTCAAGTAGGCATCGGGAAATGAAGGTAATGAATAGGAGCAATAAATGGGAGTAATGAATGGGGGCGATGAATAAGCAGTCAAAAATGGGTAACTAGAACAGGAACGGCAACAGCCAGCCCGGATGAGGGAGGCAAATCCGCGTTATGGGTCTTCACTACGAGGTGACACACGTAAGACGAATTATGCAGACGTTTCCGAAAAGAGGGAAAGGAAAAAAAAAAAGAAGACAAGTGACACGTCTAAGCACCCCCCGCAAGCAGGCATACACAATGGTACAGATGAATTAATATCATGGAATTTAAAAAAAAAAAAAAAAAAGGGGGGAAAATTACGCGCAATGAATTTATATCGCAGGATTAGTTATCACCGCGCTGTTCATACTTTCCAGACGGCACGGAAAAGACTATACACACACGCGCGGGAACATAAATATATAAAAATATACATGTGTGTGTGAGGGTGTGTGTGTGGGGGCCAGTTGAGCCATGAAGCGGTGACAGTTAAAAGTCGTCCACAGTGTGTCCCTCGTGTCTATGCATATGCGTATACGTACGTGTGCCCCTTCGGGGAGTAATTAAAACTGATGTTGACGTTACAGTGAATTCTGAAACGAGTCTTATGCCCGTTACATCACGTCTAAGCAGATGAATAGATATAGACGTGTGTGTTTTAAAAAAGAAAAAAAAAAAAAATTACGACATGATGTGATGCTATATGCTTATGAGGGTGGGGGTAATGTACGAAAATACATATGAGAGGTAGCACATTAGGTCTACACGTGTTGCCTCCTCTTATAAAAAAAAAAAAAAAAAAATCACTGGACATTTTTTTCCTTTAATTCTGGGCATGCAATTTCCGATTAGAATGAATACTTTGCATACCTCTGTGCTGCACACACCTGTGTGATAGTTTTGGTCTCCAACTGGGATGTAAACAGCGGAGGCGGATAAATGTGCCCTACATCACCATCGTCCTATTTTTTCTTCGGAAAGGAGAGGAGATTGCAAAAGGGAACCTCTTAAACGTTTATGCTACATCTATGCATTTTACCTACCACGGGGATTCACTTCAATAATTATCGTTGTCAACCCCGTCGTCGTAACTATAGTCGTCCAGCGCGGCTGCATTGTAATCGTAGCTGACGGAGGCCTCGTTAGCAGTCGTGGGATCATTGACAGTCGTCGGATCGTTCGCGGTGGTGGACTCGTTGGCAATTGTCGGGTCGTTGAAGTTCAGGTTCATCTGTTCATTCGCAAGTGTCCTGTCGTACATGCTCTCTTGCTCTTGCATGGTGATCGGTTCGCTTGGGTCCAGCTGGTAGTCGATCTGGAAGGCACTGCTGTAGTCTTGATTGTCCAGATCGTTCGTGGTGATGTTGTTCTCATTGGTTCCACTGCCACTGAAGGTGTTGGCGTCATTGTTTATATTGTTGTCTTCTCCACGTATGTCCATCTCGTTGTTCGTGCTGCTACTATTGTAGCTGTTATGATTGGTGTCGTTATCCACTGGACTGTTGGCGCTGTCCAGTCCGCTATACGCGCTGCTGTCGAGAGCACTATTTTGCTCGCCCCTGCCAACCGTAATGTGCTCGGTGCTGATTGATTCCACCGCCATGTCCTCACTGTTGACTGGTTCATTCGCCATGTTATCGCTGCTGCCTGCTTCCATGGTCATATGCTCTCCCGCATCTATGACACTGTTTTCGCGGCTGTCCGCGCCGACGCTGATGTGTCCTCCATCCACATTAATTTGTTCCCCGCTCGTGTCGCCAACGCTGCTGTTCGCCACATGGATATGCCGGTTGCTGCTTCGAACACTGGAAAATTCGTTTCTTACGTGCTCGGTGTCGTTCACGTTCATGCTGGAGGCGCCGTCACTTTGTCTTCCGCTTTGGACGCTTCCACGGTCGCTTCCTCTTCCGCTTTGGACGCTGCCACGGTCACTTTGCCTGCCACTCTGCACACTTCCGCCTCGAACGCTTCCATTTGGAACGCGTCCATTGGGGACGCTCCCATTTCGAACGCTCCCGTTCCTAGCACTTCCACTCCCCATGCTATCGTCTGCACAGCTGCCATGAGCTGTATCATTGCTGGCGCCGATGCCCCTGAAGATGCTCCCGCCGTTCTGCTTCTTCATCTCGTAAATAGTGCTATAGTTCTCGTTAGCGCCTCCGTAGACGCTGTTCACGTTCTGGTTTCTGGGGCTGAAGATGCTCCTGCCGCTGGTGAAGCCGCCATCATTAGCGAAGTCGCTAACATTGCCGATTCCGCTCACATTGCCGATGCTATTCATGTTGTTCATGCTGCCGACTCTGTTAACATCGCTGGCTCTGGCGACACTTCCATCCGTGTTGCTGCAGCTGTCGCTGCGTTTACTACCGATCTGTTTATTTTCTCTCGCTCTGTTGGCACGGCCGGCCCTGATGCCGCTCCTCACGGCTTCGTTCACGATGCTTCGCACGTCCAGATGTCCAAGCCCCTCCTTGCGGCTGCCGTAGTTGTTGTCCTTTTTGCCACTACCAGAGAAGGCACCTACCGCACTGCTAGCTTTGGCAACAAGACCGGGGACGAACCGATAATTGTCTCCCCCCTGTCTGGCCAACGAAGGAGCGCTCCTATTCTCGTCATTTGAAAGATTATCATCCGTAAAAAGATCATTCGCTCTGGATTGCATATTCCACATCTCCGCGTACTCTCCATTCAGTGTGAGCAGATGCTGGTGGGTTCCCCTCTCGACAATCCTGCCTTTATTTAGCAGGACAATTAGCTCTGCTGACGAGATTGTACTAAGTCTATGTGCAATGATAATTAGGGTCCTGTTCTTTCTTAAATCTTCCACTGCCTTCTGGAAGAGAAATTCCGTTTTTGAGTCCAATGAGCTAGTTGCTTCGTCAAAAATGACAATCTTTGGATCTTTCAGTAGACATCGAGCTATGGCGATCCTTTGCCTTTCCCCTCCAGAGAGTTTCACCCCTTTGTCTCCAACAACAGTGTCCCATTTCTTCGGCAGAGACATAATAAAATCATACAGCTGAGCAGACTTCACCGCTTCAATTAACTGTTCCTCTGTTGCGTCTAGCTTCCCATAGAGCACGTTGTAACGAATTGTTTCATTAAAAAGGATGGTATCCTGAGGAACAATTCCGATGATATTTCGAACTGAATTTCTTGTATACTCGGAAACATTCCTTCCTCCAATTTTTATCTCCCCCTCTGCATCGTAAAATCGGTAGAGCAGTTTCGAGATGGTCGTCTTTCCCGAACCCGTGTGGCCAACAAGAGCACAGGTAGTACCCGGCTGTATATATATGTTAACATCCTTGAGAGCCATATGTTGTGGCTCTGATGGGTAGTGAAAATTGACATCAACAAATTGAATGCTGACCCCAAATTTCTTTTCATGTGATGTGAGGGAGAATTGTTCCAAATCGGAGTCCTCCGCCATGTCTACCTTTTCTCTCAAAATGTCTGTCAAGTCACTTATATCGGTAAAGGCTTTTACTATATTTGCATAGAGTGTTCCTAGGATGGTTAACGGAGCGAACACATTGGATGTGTATACTACCACACTGATGAAGGTGCCACTATCCGCTCCATCATTTACAATCATACGAATTACGCAAAGGAGAGTGAAGAATAAAGTGGCATTCAGGATCAGCTGCTGTACACTATTAAGCACACCCAGACTGTTAAGGATCTTCAAATTATACCTATTATAATTAGAGAGGGCACTACAGAACCGTTTGATTTCATAATTCTCATTACTGAAGTATTTTACATTTTCATAGTTGCTTAAAGAATCATGAGCGATGTCATGGTAGACGTTATCCATTTTATTGGCTTTGCTCCTTATCTTCTTCCTCCATTTTGTTATTTTCACCGTTGCGTATATGTAGAGAGTAAGTCCAAGATAGAGGACGCTTCCTAGTAGGCTATTCTTATATTTTATTACAAAAATGATGCAGGTAACTACTCCCTCTATGGTAGCTGGAATGATATACATCAGAAGTGAACTCATCAGGCTATTGGCACTTTCTGTTCCTCGGTCTACTATCCGCATAATCCCACCTGCATTCTTCGTAGAGAACCACTCATAGGATAAGTTATGAAACTTCTGAAAAACGGATTCTTGTAATTCAATAAAAGCGGACTGCTGCACTTGTGAATATAAGATGCCACATATCTCTTTTAAAAATTTGGAGATGAAAAAAAAGGTTACGTACAAGGTGAGGTAGAAGAAGGAGTTCCTCATGTCTTTTTTTAACACTTCGTCGGAGGCTAGTCCGAGGTATATAGGGCAGACGACACTGAACACCTTTGATAGGATAATAAACAGGAATATCAGAACGACGTAGGTGCGCAGAATTAGGCTGTTCCCCTTTTGGTCTACTCTCCTACTGGGCCATATGTACGGAAGAAGAATGTTGCTGAATTCTTTGTACGTTAGCTTGTCCTCCAGGAGGGTTAGGTTCGATTTGGCGTTGCCGGAGGGGGAGGACCAGGCGCCATGATGTCCACCGCTAGTCAAACCGCCCCTTCCTTCCATCTGTTTACCTGGGAGGTATTTCCCCTTCTCCTTCTTGAGGAGGGCCTCCTTCACGTTCTTCTCGACGAATGCGTTGCCCATCTGCGCGAAATTCCTCCTGCACCAGCTCTTCTTCTTCTTCAAACTTTTGAACACATCGTCAGAGTCGCTCAGCTTAGTGTACGACTGGTTCCAAAACGACGCATTCTTACAATCAGCTACAATCGAATCGTTATTCATCGTACTGGCGTGCGTCTCCTGCAAATTGCTTCCCCCCTTGGCACCGAACATTTGGTACTTCCTACATTTCAAGTCACTGACAAGTAGCCTTTCCAATTCATCCTTCGCAAAGATGGTTCTCTTTTTCATCGTGTACAGCTGAATATGCACAAAGTAGAAATAAATGGAGGAAAGCAAACTGTACAGCATAATAACTACCCTCGCGATGCCCACATAGATGCGGTTAGACTCATCGGTGGGCTGACCTCCACTGATCATGTTATATTCCAAATTGATCATCTTCAGCGTGTTTACGATGGTTAACATTCCTGTGATGTGCCTCGTAAAGATCTGCACCTTCTCCAGCCTCTTCAAGGAACGCATTTTTGCATAAAGAAGAGCCAACACTATGGTATAAAATATTCTGAACACGTTCAGGAAAAACAAATCCACCAAGGATTTGTAGAAGCTGTAAAATAAATTCCTCTCATTTTGGTAACTTTGATTGACATCAAATTGGTAGCACCCCAGGAAGAGCAGAACGAGGATCACAATGTCGATTACATGATATATGCTGATTTTCTTCTGCACCTTTCTTCTCTTCACTTCGTTCTGTATTCCCAGGTACCGCAGGTACTCGTAGTTCGACACGTCCATCTTGGCTCTGCCGCTCCTTCGCACGGGGCGGTTACACAGAGGAAGCAGTTACTCAAACGGAGCAGTCTCACAAAGAAAGCGGTTACACAGAGAAAGCGGTTACACAGAGAGAGCGGTTATTCACATGGATAGCTTGAGAGAGCTTGATCGTGTCGAGTTGTTACGGACTCTGCGCTGCGACGATGCGGCACTATATAGGCAAGCGTTGCTCACGAATCCACGGCGATCCCGTATAGGGTGCTAACCGTTAGAGAGAACGGAGCATCGCGTTCTTTCATGAATTATGACGGAAAAGCGGGATGAGAGGAGCGAACGCGGCGTGAAGGAAGAATGACAGATGATTGGCCTATAGAACCGACATTCGGTGCTTCATGTATCATGCGTCACGTCAAACGAATGTAGATTGCGTGGCAAACAAAACTGTACACGGGGAGAAGTCCACGAAGGAGGTAACCAACTGCAGAGTGAGAAAACGGGTGAGTGAAAATCACGGCGGGCGGCGGGGACGGAATTCTACTGCGAAAAAATTTTCACTCATAAAAGTAAAAAGCGCATCCCCCTACTGACGTTATCACATATAATGCATATTTTCAATCCCGCGAAAATTTGAAAATGTAAAACGTGCGCCTTTGCTTTAACAGTGTGGAAAGAAGGATATACATACAGCAACGTACATTATTGCGCATAATGACGTGACGATAATGACGTGACGATAATGACGTGCCCATAATGATGTCACCATAATGACGTCATCATAATGATGTCACAATAATGACGTACGCATTGTAACGTACGTATAATTATATGTTCATTTTTTCCTTCTCTTATATGTGACACAGTTTTTTCACTTTGTGGCACAATTTTTCCATTCTCATGAACACAGGTGTTTATTCATCATTTAGTAAAAAAAGGAAATGTATTTAAAGGACTTGTAGAAAAAAAAAAAATGTTTCTCAATTTTTGCCTTTTGTTTGTACTTTTGGTTTGCACTTTTTATTTTTATACTTTTTCATCCCTTCGATAAATGGAGCAGAAGGAAAAAAAAGGCGTGGTCGCAGGGGCGGCGGTACACGCGGGGGCAATCGACGGACATATAACTTTTTAGTAGCATGTGCCACTCCCCTTGGACGTATTATGCATGTATTGCTTTGACAGTGTCGAGTTGGATGGAGCGATTTATTTTCGGGATGTCGGTCTCTGGCCGCGGAGGTCACTCTGTGAAGATCGCGTTGCGGTGTTCGCGCTGTCAATTTCACGCTGTCAGGTTTCACTTCGCCCACTTGGCCATGTTTACTTTTTCTTTCCTTCTAACGGACACTCTCCTCGCGGCTTTTTTTTTTTTTTTTTCTTTTTTCTTTCATTCCCTATACTTGGACATGCGTAGTAGGGTATACCTCCCCCAGCTTCAAACACCATCAGGGGAACATTCTGCCGTTACATACATGTATGTAAATTATACCCATCTGCATACGACATGCAGTGGGGGGGAGAATGCACTGCTTCTGTGGGGGGTGCCGCTTCCATTCTTATCAAACAGCGTGTCGTGATCAACGGACGGGGTAGGCCACCCGGAAGATGCTTTCTCTGCTCTGTGCATGTGTATAAACTTACGCCCCCTTACCTGACGACCCCCCGATGTAGTTGCAGATCCACATCATCAGGGTGCAAATAGGCAGGGGGGAGGCAGCGTACAGGTGTGTTTCAGTCGTTGTGAAAAGGTTGCTACGTGGCAGCTTTGTGACAACTTCGTGACAGCATTGTGGCTTCTGCGCGGTTGCCCAAAAAGAGGGAAAAGAAAATGTGCGCCCTTAACGATTAGCGAATAGGCGCGCGAAATTGCTGCACCGTGGGTGGAAATGCTCTCAAAGTGGCAGCTTCACCGCGAAAACGTGTGTGGCCAAATTATACGCCCCACGGGCTATTAAACAGGAGTAAATTTTTTCGGGCAGCCAATCTGGCTACATGCAACAAATTCAAATAACTTCAAATTGGAGGGCAATAATGGGAAAAAAAGAATAAAAAAAAGAATAAAAAAAAGGATAAAAAAAAATAAAAAAAAAAAAAAAAGCGGCATGTACGGAGGCCGGCCAGAACTTTCCCACCACAGCCCCCTTCTTTTCCACACTGCGTGGGGAGACCCTCGTAGTGTGGGAATTTCGGCGTCGGCGCTTCACCTATGGGCGTTTATCACTTGACCGATTGCCGCTTGCCACATCACCGATTGCCGCTCACCACTTCACCGCTACATCACTCCTTCAGCATCCACCTCCTCGTCGTCCAGCGCATGCAGCAGAAAGCTGAGGGTGCTCTGGTTGAAGGCACACTGGTCAAGGGACCTCCTCAGGTGCGGAATGATGAGCTGATGCAATTCGTACAGAAGGAATCTAAATTTCACGTCAAACAGGAATTGGTTCCGATAAATATTCACAATAGACAGCACGACGTTAATGGAATACTCGACGTGGAAACTGAACTCTCCACAGATTTTATATTGCCCATAATCATTTTGAATGCGCTGGAAGAAATAAAATGCCATCAGATACGTCTTGATATAATTAAGTAACTTATAGGCATAGGAAAAAGGCAATGAAATTAACACCTCATGTAAAATGTTCTTCTTAATGTTGCACATAACCTCAATGATGAACTCAAATGGATTTTTATTTAGCAGTTCTGGTCTGGGCTTCACCTTATTTGGAGGCTGAACAAAATCAGGAAGTTCATTTTTCCTTTTAGCTTCTTCATACTCTGTTAAATTTTTAAAATAAACATCCATTAGGGTTAATTCCTCGTCAATTATGTCCAGATACTCTATTAGCTTCTCCGATGATTTTATCGTGTCTATCGTTTTAATAGTGGCCTTGGTTAGAAGAGCATTTTTTTCCACAGAGGATGGATAGGATAAATCATTTCGGACGGCCTCTTTCTCAATCTGCAGATTCAATTCTTTATCTCTTTCTTCTTCTAGGAAAATCAAATCATCTTCTCTTCTCGTCCAGCATCTAATACTTCGATGCGTTCCTGACGTTAGGAAATAATTGTCCTCTGTATTTATAGCTAGCGAAGTGAGCACTCCAAAATTACCATCCATGGTACAGATGCACTGGAATTTTATTGCGTCCCACATCTTTATGAACCCATCTCTAGATATACTTATCAGATTATTGCTCTTGTTAAAGAAATGCACTTTTGTGACGACATCACAGTTGGTGTGCATCCTCTTCATGATACTTCCGTATTCTATGTTCCATAGGAAGAGAAATTTATCTGCTGAGCTCGATGCCAGCACCGTGTTGTCTTTCGATATATCCATGCACGTGATGGGCAGACTGTGCCCATACAATGTTAGGTGCAGCTTTAGCGTATCACTATAGAGAACTTCTATCAAATTGTTCAGGTAGCCCACACAGATGTATTTTCCGTTGGGTGAATAAATTGCGCAGCTGACTTTGTCGCTTAGGTTGTAGCAGTCCGCTTCGTTGAAGCTGAGGTGGGTCGTTTTGTCGCTGTTCTTTTCGGTGTTTTTTTCGGTCTCCTCCTCCCCGTCCGACGGTAATTCTGCAGATTGGGCTTCCCCCGAGCCGCTTATTTTCCGCCGCTTATTCGCTCTCCTAGCCGCTTTGCCCAGTGGGGCGCCCTCCCTCTGCTCTCTTCCACCGCGTTGTCCTCTTCCGTCCAATTCGCCTCTTCCATCGCTCTCCCCATCGCTAGATTCAACGCTGGATTGACCACTCGATTCACCACCCGATTCGGCGCCCCCCTCCCGCCAGTACAACTCAAACACCTTCAAGTAGCTCTCCTCCCCGACGGACAAAAACCGATTCTTCTGTCTCACATTCTTGCACATGCTGATGATCCCATTCGCGTGGGCCTTGTGCGAGTGCCTCACCTCAATGTTCCTCAATTCGTACAGATAGATATACCCAGCGTCATCGCTAATGAGCAGATAGTCGTCCTCCTCACAGAACAGCGCATTCGTGCAGCCCTCCAAATTGATGGTGATGGTATTCTGGAAGGTTCGCATGCTCCACAGCTTCACGTACTTCTTGCAGATGGAGACCAGCAGCTCGTTCTTCTCGGAAAGGCTCAGAAACTGTACCGTGCTGTTGTGCCCCTTGTTTATTTCGCACGTCTCCTTGAAGCACTTGGAATAGTCATATATCTTTTTCTCCACAATCTTGGCAGGCGCGCTGAGGTGGCCGCGGGATTCACCCTTGGGGGCGTGATCCTGGTGGGATTCATCATCATCGCCTTCGTCATTATCGGCTTCGTCATCATCGCTTTTGCTATCATCGCCTTCGTCATCATCTCCTTCGTCATCATCATCTTCCCCATCACTCCTTTCGTCATCATCACCTTCCCCATCATCACCTTCCCCATCATCACTTTCCCCATCATCACCTTCCCCATCACTCCTTTCGTCATCATCTCCTTCGCCATCACCCCTTTCGTCATCATTACCTTCCCCATCACCGCGCTCTTCCGCGTCACCCCCCTCCTGTGGGTCAGCCTCCCTAACGACGAACTCATCCCGTTTAGTCAAAACGTCGAAGAGGTTCACCTGGAACACGCTCAAACGATTCGTGACGTACGCAGCGAGGAGGTAGATATGGGAGTCCCTCTTCCTCCTGCGATACAGGTCCAGGTACTGCAGCCTGAATTTGCAGTTGTAATAAAAGAGAAACTTCACCTCATCATTGGCTGTGTGGAAGTGATACTTCCCATGGACAGCAATTTCTTCGTCCAGACTTCTCACCTCCTCCATCAAGTTGATAAAATCTATGTGTTGGGTTCCTTTAAACTTCTCGATCCTTCTGGCTTCTTTCAAAATGGCTTTTTTCTTCTTCTTCAATTTTTCTATGATTCTTTTTTTTCTATTTTTTTCTGATTTTTTCTGATTCTTCACCGAGTTTATTTTGTACAGCTCGATTTTTTTTACATTTGTACAGCAGAGTAGAATCCCGTTGTTGTCCCCATCGGCGCAGTAGTTGCTTCGGTTGCACAATTTTACCGAAGTGTTGAGTGATTTCTTTATAACACTTAAAATGTGTTTATCGGTCTGCTTGACGTCCGAATTGGGTTTCTTCCCATGGGACAAATTCTCACTTAGGTGATCATCCCGGTTTTTTGTCTTCCCCTTTGCGTTCCCATCATTAGGAGTGTCGCTATTCTGAGCAGCCTCTCCGTCTGGGGCTTGGTCTTTCTCCAAATGGGTCCAAATGTCGTCATCACGATGGTTACGGTTATGGCTATCTTTATCGCTATCCTCATCATAGAGCAGACGCTCCTCTTGCATATCGAGACCATCATAGTGGGTCTCACTTTGAACAAGAAAAATCATCTTCATATTTTGTACTCGACTGTTGCTTGCGCGTTTAATAGAGGCTAAGACGCTGAGGTACACTTTGGAGGAGCTGCTAAACTTGTCGTGGCCGCCAATAAGGATGTCAATTTTGTACACCTTTATGGCCGAATTGCAAGCGACGATTAATCTCGTGTTCGTTTCGTTAATCAGGATGGAAGTGATTTCTTCTTCACAGTCGACAACAGTCTGTACACAGAGCTGAATGTTTAAATCCCAAACTTTGATGAGACAATCTTTCGATGCACTGATGAGCAGATTATTATTAACAAAATTATCCACATAGTTATTTCTCCTTTTGAGAAACTCTATATCGTTTACGACGTTGGTGTGTCCTTCCAACTTAAACAACCCTTGATCGTTCACCACATCCCACAGTATGACATTGGTGTCCTTTCCACATGAGCAGAGATAACTCCCATCGTCATTAAATTTCAATTTATTTATGGCTGATGTATGTCCTGAGAAAGTCGAAGTTACTTTGTTCGATTCGACGTCAAACACTTTGATGCATCCATTAACATACCCCACCGCGATCATATTTTTATCCTTCGGATTTACACATATGTGCGTCACGTGGTAGGAGAAAAAATAATAGGGAGCTGTGAAGGGCACTGTGAGTTTCTTCTTTATTTCCTTCTCGTGGATATTCCATAGGCCTACACATTCATCATGTCCTGTGGTGTGGTAGTGGGGGGAGAAAAAAAAAAAAAGAAAAATGAACAGTCATTTGGGAAGCGGCGGACTGTTGCTTATGTTATCAAGCATGCGAGGCGGTTCGCTGAGCACGCTTGTGGCATATCGGCTGACCAGCCCGACTTCTCAGTTATTCCCACTTGCCTGACAAAATGCTGCTATAGTTCAGGAAAACGCAGTTTGAAAGCTTCGAGTTGACAATGCCGAAGCAGTCCTCGAATTCGTATCTGTCGTAGGACTTCACCATCGTTCGATTGAAGAAATAAATGCGGAGGGCGGGGGGTGGATTGCATGCTTATGCCAGCCAATCCGGAATGCTAAGTCAACTGGAGTTGCAAAGAAATTGGCTCTCCCGCAACTGCGTATGTTTTGCCTTCGACGTTGCTTTTACGCGGGTCTTTGGATCTCCATCGATAATACAGAACAGACGTGGCGTCAAATGTGGCAGCAAAGATCGCGGCATTAATGTCAGTAAAACCGCATCAAAACGGTTCAGCCGAATGGTGATACGAAAAGCCACTTCTTCTTCGCAGAGCGACAAAATGTACCCTTTTACCATTTCGCCTGAACCGTTCAGGTAAATTTTTACCGTTTGCGAAAACGTACTTTCATCTTGAGCCCCCGTACGGTTATGTAGTGGGCAGATCTGACAGTCGTTTTTGTAAGTCAACTCTTCAGTCGAAGCTGCGCCGTTGTAATTTAGAAAGGCGCCATTTGCGGCAATGTAAATTTGTTCTTTCGTTTTACCCCTCCGCATTTAGTACCTTTTTGTTTGTTCATATGGCAAAGTTGTATCTGCTTTTTTTTACCTGCTTCTTACTCTTTTTATCTGTTTTTTTTTTTTTTCTCCTGCCTCCTACGCATATTTTCTTGCCCGCTTAAATCCGTGTCGGTTCCCACTTCCTTTGCAGTGTTCCCCAATTTTAATTTCCCACAAGGGCAGTCCCAAATTTAGAAATAGCCATACAAGAGAGTCGATTTTGAGAAAAAAAGAAGAAAAAGGCGAGAAATTTACGATTATGAAAGTATGACACATTTGCTGTGATTTCTTCAAAGGAGCAATGAAAATACCCCTGCTGAGGATTGCTTGGCAGGATAAGGAGGCCAACATAAAAGTAAAGCAAAATTGCGCCAGTTGAATGCCCCCGAATTGGCTTCTCGTGTACCTCTCCTGGACAAGCAGACGAACTGATATCACACGGCAGCATAAATGAGACGTTGCGAGGTGTCATCCCATCTGTCATGCGAACTGCCAATCGACAAACTGTACACAAAAAAATGCTCCTTTTTACTGTTTAACGCGCCAAAATGGAACATAAGCTGAAGGAAAATACACATGGCAGTGGTAACATCGGTAACCGCAACAATGATAGCCATTGTGAGGGGAAAGGTAAAAGGACTAAGGCTAGGGGTGGCTTCTCAAAAGGGAATAAACACCCAGAGCTCCACAAAGTCACGAGTGAAAATTTGCGGGGAAACAATTCAGACTCCTCAAAAGGGAGGGGGCGAGATGAGCTCAGCGACGGTATAAGGAACGACTTAGTCGATCATTTGATAGAGGGGATGCCCATCGAAAATGCCGATGATGGAGATATGGGCGATGGGAATAACTGCAGACGTGAGAACAGCTACGACCCCGAGAGAAGCTACGATCCGGAGAAAAGCTACGACACGGTGAGAAGCTACGACCCCCAGAATAGCTACGACACCGAGAAAAGCTTCCTCCGCGAGGACAGCCATCCCGAAGGAGCCAGCTGGAGCGATGACTTGAGCCTCCTGTGCAGAAGCTTCGACAGCGGAAGCGGCGAGCACTCGGATGAGCCCCCAGACGACAGCGTCGCAGAATTTATAATAAAAAAAAAAATCTATGAAAGGAACATTGCCATGATTGAGAGACAAATACAGACGAATAAGCTCAACAAGCTTACGCGGGCACGGGAGGCTCTTCTAGAGATGATCGTACTAATAAAAAATAGGAAACTAAGTTTGAGTTGATCGGCTTTTCATGACGTCCCATTCTTTGTGACGTGCCATTTTTCGTGACGTGCCATTTATTTTATGGACAGGATAAACAAGTTGGTGCGCCTTTCTTGCGCAAGAGGGGACCCGTTCGAGCAAGACGATCGCCCAAAAAATCGTGCCAAACAATATTTTTCAAAAATTGTTTACCAAAATGTCTAGTGCAGATTATACGTGCCCCCGTGCGTATGTGCCATATAAATCACGTGAACTACGGCACTTCGAGGGGAGGAAAAAAAAACATGCGGATAAAATCCCAAATCGAATTGTCCTCACAGGACGACGTGCAAACATGTACGCACGTACGTACAGCGGGATAAGTTTGCCACACACAGAAAGACAGACACACCCATCCAGACGGCTGCTTATTTTAAGAGGACCTCTTCTTTGCCTTCTCCTTGGGCAGCGAAATGTTGTCCAGGATGCCCTGAATGTAATTCACCTGACTCTCTCTCATGTAACTCCCCATGCTGTTATTTTTTTTGTAATTTTTTACAAAGCCGAAGAAGGTTTCTCTCTCTTTAATTAAAGCTGCATATTTGTTCATAACCCGTTCGATATGCTCCTTATGGACAACTTCGTACGTAAATAGGAAAAATGGATACAGGATTGACAACTTCATTTCGGTTTTTTTTTCGAAATAATCGAAGTTTAATAGGAACAAGAGGAATTCGCTTACTCTGGTCCACACCTCGAGGTAGACGTCGCGAAGGGTGCGCCCCGGTTCGCCTCCCTCCGTGTGGCCGCTTATGCGGTGCTTTTGCTGACCATTTAACCCCCCCCGGACGAGTTCGTAACATTTGTAAAACATGAAGACGTTTTTCACCAAGTCGCTAAAGTCGAGGTCCTCTATCGGTGTCATCTTCATGGCGACGGTGAATTCGACCATGTCGAGGAAGTGCCTGCAGCGGGAGGGAGAAAGAAGTAAAAAAGAAAGGAGGAAAGTGTCATCACCTCTTCGAGCAATTCCCACATCGGGTATACCCACACGGATGTGCAAGTACTTGTCTCTTCTGAAAAACGCGCTGACGTGAGGCAGGCCGCCTCGCCCCAACAATTCTGGACCGCTAATCGCAGTGGGCACAGCCAAGGAACGCTCAAAAGTGGAAATAATTACATGACGAAGTGGAGGATCGTCTTGGTGTAGGTTGCCCATTCATCCACCCGGGCATCTCCTTGCGCAGCCGCTTCTCCTACAGCAGTCATCCCTGCTAAACTGCCACTTGTAACAATTTCAATTTCGTTTTTAAACTTAACAGAACTGATCAGATGAATACTCCGCAGAGTGTTGTCAATTAAGGTATCCCAGTCATGCGGGAAGTTGCTCTTCTTGGATGTGTAACAAAGGAAGAAAAACGAAATGTACAAATGGAAGTACCCTTTTATCTTAGCCTTCTCATGAAGTACCAATTGTACAAAATTGAATCCACCCTTATCTTCATAGTGAGGAGAAATAAAATGAGGAGGCAGCTGGAAATCGCTCTGTGTCAGTTTGTCAAATAGGGACAGAAGATACGAGTTGAATTTGAAGATGACGTTGTGTATAATGCTTTGGAAGGACTTAAATAACATGTTGTGATATTTTTTCTTTTTAACAATCAGTGATAGTAGAATGAGAGCATTGATCTCCTTTTCGTCACTTATGTGAATTTTCTCTTTCTCCCTTTGGTCATTTATGTGAATTCTTTTCTTCTCATTTTCCTCCACGTGGTCGTCTTTCTTGTCGCAATGCAAGGGGGGCACTTTTATCTCACTTCCCTCCTCTGACTGGGGTATCTCCCACTGGTGTTCTTCCTCCCCGTCAGCGAAATAACCCAGCGCAGCTTTTTCCACAAATGGATGGTTTCCATCTGCGTGAAGAAAGGGGCTTCCCTTCATGGCGAGTCCCCACTCCGGGTCCGCACAGGTGTGTAAAAAGACAAACTCAATGGAGGCATTTAAGATGTGCATCTGTGCTGAGACAACCGACTCAAGTAAGCTCCACTTGTGAAATAACGGGAGGATAAATTTTCGACACGCATGTTCATTCTTAGCTCTGTGGAGGGAGAGTAACTGCCTGCGAGCGTAGCTGTGTATTCCCACATAATCCTCCTGATTGAGATTAACATATTTAAGTATTTTGAAATAAAACTGCTGCATTAGGGTGTCTATGCTGGTGAGGAAGTAATCCTCCTTAAATTTGCTTCTGAGGAAATTCTCCATTTTTTCCGAGCCGCACATTTCCATTTCTTCCTCGTTCTTCGGCTTCAACAGGTACGCCACGCAGAGGAGAAGGGAGGCGTACTTCACATACTTCCCGTTGATGACCGGGTCGTCCAGGAGCTTCCCCACATCACGCAGCGGGGTCTGCATCGTCCCTGTGGTAGCTCCCACTAGGAACCCCTCTCCAATTCTGCCCTTTCCAGTGCTCCCCGCGGTCAGAAGCACGGAGTTTCCTTCCTCCCCTAACTTCACGTTGGTAATTTCGAATAGGACCGAAGCCAACTTGTAACGCTGCACCAATTCCATGTTCGTAGCGAATTTACTGATGCAGATCATGAGCGCAGGGTAATCATTTAATAGATTGACGCATTTCTTTGCCTGCTCCTTTATGGAGCATTCCCACATAGAATAAGTAATTAAATTGCAAGACAGCTTAAGGAACTCAGACATTTCTCTGTTTTTTACCCTCTCATGATGTTCATACTTTGCATAGGACAACTTCCTGATGCATAACTGCACGTTGTATGTGAATAGATCTTTCGTGACACGCTTCATCAATTCAGTGAAGTCGATTTGGTTGGAGAGATTTTCATTTAATTGTTTATTCAATTCGAGGATAAGGGCGATGCAATTTTTCCGTACTCGTAGAGACTTGTCATTTATGAGGTATTTTATTTTGTGGAATATTTTTCCAAACAGTTTGTGTATCTTCTTATTTTTCGCCATTTCGCAGAACCCAAGAAGGACTTCCACCTTCACATTGTCGTATTGTCTGTCCCTTAGTAGCTTGTTGATCAGCACTTCCACGAGGGCGGATCTCTTCTGTTCGCTGATTATTTCCCACAGTTCATTCAGGATCTGAATGGACATTTGCACGGTAGTGTGACGCAGTGGTGTAACGGGGAGGTGTAACGGGGCTCCGTTGAGAAGCGGCACCGCTGCAGAGACGGTAATGCAGTGGGGACACATTTTGGCACCCTTATGATGCACTTTTCCTGTCCCACTCTTTCTTTCTCCTTTCTGCTCACATGACATATGCACTTGGCCACGGCCTGCAGGACGCAGGCGTTCACGTCTTCAGCCAAGTCCAAGAGGGCATGGTAGGCTCTTGGGCAGATAAAGACAGGGGGTGGAGAGGGTCAATATGTGCATGCAGTGAACTCCTAACGAGAAGGCAGCAATTGGGGAACACTCTCATGTGATGTCTGTCTGCACTTTAGCTGTCCACTCCTCTTAGCTCACTTCTCCATCGAGGCTAGGTAATTCACGTTCTTTATGCAGGGGTCCTAATTTAGTACCGTTGGAGGGGTAACAAAAAAAAAAAAAAAAAAAAGGAAAAATGAAGAATACACCAAGGGGTTAGCGAAACGGAAGGAAGATTCTCACTAGACTGACGCTAAAGTGATGCGCTCTTCGCATTTCTCCACCAAATGAAGTTCAAATTGTCAATTACCACGACGGGGAAAATCAGCTGAAAGATGCACGTGGCGTTGAAGCGAAGTTTCCAGTTGGGCGACTATAATAGTTTTGCAGAAAGGGGGCGTTATCCACACGGGGGAGATATTCTTTTTTCTTCTGATCCATGACATGTGGATTTTCGTCTATGCATACACAATAGCGTATGCCTGTTTTATGATCCCCCTTTTTTGGAGGGCATCCAAAATGTTGTCTCTAAGTACTACCTACCCACAGGGACACTTACCATGAGGCTCCTCCAAATAACGGGGTCGTAAATTTTGAAGATCAAATTGTTGATGCTCTTGTCCCTTGGCGAAATGAAGCGGGGTCAATACCAACAAATCATGGCAAAAATAAAGTGAAGACGGCAATGTGATAAAAGGAAGCACAGTCGACCTCGTATATCCCATCACATGAAAAGTGTAATCACTCTAAAATGGGAATAACATAAACGATTTCATCCTCTTTTCGTTACCCCTTATTGTTGTGGAATATACTTAGAACATTTCTGAATCGTGCTGCGACTTTAATGGGACACTTTAAGGCCAAGTTGACGAGGTGCTCAATTTGCATCTCCAGTGTTTCTTTCATCATTCCTTCGCAGTTCTGTTGAGGAAGTTGCGATGGAGAGGGGGTGGAGGGCGGAAAAGTCAGTGACCCAACAAATGGCAGCCTCCATCACGTGCACTCATAGGTGTATAGGAGGGAGCTGCCCCTTTGCTGAACCGATACGCATAAGTGTGCAAGAGAAGGCAGAATTCTGCACATGTGTTCGCAATTCTGTGAAGTTTGCATAGGCCTTCTCCCCATCTCGCTACTAGCGTGCACCGGGGTGATGGTGGCTACCCTCCTTTGTCATTTCATACCTTCCACGTCGAATGGATAATCTGTGAATAGTGACTGATGCTGTCATGCGTGAGGAGTACCGTGTTGTGCACGAATTTCTGTCAGCAGTCGGAGGGGGAAGCAGACCGGCATGTTCGTGTGGCATGTCTATGTGGCGTATCAATGTGGCATGTCAATCGGGCAGGTAACCCCACGTGGGGTGAGACGACTACCCTTAGATGCACTGCTTAGCAAATGAGAAGGGACAACGCCCTTCGATTGGTGTCAAACTGCAAAGCGGCTTTTCCCCGTTTGCCCCGTGTGCCCCTTTTTTTTTCTTTTTTTTCTATTACGTGAAAAAGGTGAGACGCTATACTTTCGTGTTGAGACCAAACGTGTGCCAGAAAGAATTTCCCATCGGGGCTGAGTAAAGAGTGGGAATAAAAAAGCCCAGGGGAATAATTTTATTTTCCATTCAGCTTGTTCACACTGGATGGGGGATGACATATAGTCACGTCTTTTCTCCCAACATAGTTGCTAATCAGCACCCCACCATACCCACAGGGTGTCTGATCTCACTCCCTTACTGTGCATAAAACTTGGGCAGATTCAGTGAGTAAGAACAGAGCAGATAAAACGAGTTAGTGGATTTTTCTGGAACTCCCCATTTTATATATTTACACAGGTCTTTGTTCTTTTTGAGTTTAGTGACGTCTGCGCTTTTGCCCTGCTTGTTGGATGTGAAGCAGTGGAGTGAGTGAAGCAGTGGAGTGAGTGAAGCAGTGGAGTGAGTGAAGCAGTGGAGTGGGTGAAGCAGTGGAGTGGGTGAAGCAGTGGAGGGGGTGAGGCAGTGGAGGGGGGAAGGACGAGACAATGCTGTACACACGGGAGTGGCCACAGCTCAGCAGGGTGTACTCTCCAAACAGAAACTCTGCCACTCCCTGTCTATGTTTACCTCCGACGAACACGTCTTCCACAAGAGAAATATCAATAGGTTCACTTTCACGTGCTCTGAAAATTCATTTTCTTCTAAGTTCAGTTCGCATAACTGGAATAAGCATTTCCCAAAGGACATGCGCACTTCTCTGTCGCTTAGCATGAATTGGACCTCTGTAGGTGAGCGCGATGGGTTAGCGGCATGGGGCAGCCCCCCCATGTGACTTTGTGGTGTAACTTTGCCGTGTGACTGTTCCGTGTGACTACGCAGAAGTAACTGCTCCGTGAGAAGACACCTGCCTATGCCGATAGCCAGGCCACAAAGACGGTTCTGCACGTGGGACTAATCCTGTGCAGGTCTAACCCCTCCCCCATCCATACTAACCACTGAGCTTATAAAAAAGGGTGTAAAAATTGGCATCCAATTTGATGTGCTTCTTCCTCTTCTTGTCACTATTAGCCAAGTGTTGTAAATATATACATATAAAATTGATGCAGGTGAGTAGATACTGCCTGTCATTTTCTTCCTTCAAAGTGGGAGCGGCGAAATGGGAAAGGTGAAATGGGAAAGGTGAAATGGGAAAGGTGAAATGGCAAAGGCGGAGGAACAGCTGTTGCAAGTGCGTCTTTGTCACCCTCATGAGGGTGTTAAGGACAGACTTGCCACAATATACTGCTGAACGCCACTGTGCAGAATTGCCATAGTACCCTAAAGAGCAAAGTCGAATTCTTCGCGTCGTAAAGCAGCTTGTCTGGAGGGGTGCGCTCCTCCAATGCTTTGTGCAAGAGGAGCCATATCTCCTCATATTCTTTTGCCTTGCATGACTGCAGGGTGGATAGAAGCTCCGTCTTCCGAAGGGGTCACATTACGGGGAAGTAAAAAAAAAAAAAAAAAAGGCGCGCGCACCAACATATATGTGTTGGATGCCCTATATTGTAGCAACGGTAGAAGAAAAGAAAAAGCGGCGTAATCTACACACACCGGCGGACACCCTGCCCAGCAACCCGATGGCCGCTTCCCGATTGCAGCTTGCCGCATACCTTCTTTTTGCACAACTGTTTCAAGTGCGCCAACTCGGTGAGGTCGGTCATAATTTCTTTAAATATCATTCTGCGCAGTGTGATGGATGGCCGTACTACTTAGGGGGTTCAAATGTGGGTAGTTACTCAGGTGTAGAAGTCCCTAATGCGTAGGAAGGCAATTACATAACTGCATGTATAGATGGCTCTCCCCCCTGAGCTAGCGCCACTGCATCACTTTTCCTTCCCTGCGTTCACACGACCTAAGTGGGACAACCGATTGAGTACTTGCCCGCGAATTTTCAGTCAGAAGTGTTCTCCACCACTGACGCTGTGCCTGTCCGTCCCTACTCTTTTTTTTTTTTTCCCAAATTTCCACTACTACACAATAACGGCGTATTGATTTTAGCTAATTAGGCGAGGTTTCTCAATGTGCAAAAAAAAGACGGCAAAAAGACGGCAGAAAAATGGCAGAAAAATGGCAGAAAAATGGCAAAAAAACGGAAAAAAAACGACGCAGTAAAAAAACAACAAAATGCAGCGAAGAGACACAAAGTGAAAAAAACGCGGTTGTTTACACAGCAAGGACGCAGACACAGAATCAGCGCGTGGCAAACGTGTAGTAGAAAAGGAGAGGCACGGATATGGGCATGAAGTGGCCACGCAATGGGCACGCATACGGACATGTTGAAGCCAGCGAACGCCAAGGCGCAAGGGGGCGGATAAACAAATACACATATGCGCATACATGAATATGCTCGCACGCGCACCAAGTGGAAAGGGTTTAAGGTTATAAGTTGCAGCAAGTAGGTGCGCACTCCGCAGGGGGTCCTCAAGACAGACACTTGCGTAGCAGCCGACGCGTAGCAGCCCACGTGCAGCAGCCCACGCGCGTAAGTATATACATATGGATAACACACATACGGATGGATACATACACGCACATACGCATGCACGTACACCCATGAGAAAACAAAAAAAAAGGAAGGAACTTACAAAAAAGGCCAGGTAAACGCACAAGCACTCATGCGTGAGGAGATGCCTAACCGTTTAGGGATGATCGCTCAGCGCCTTAGGGGGAAACACAAAAATAGCTAAATAGCTGTCTTGAGGCCAAGCACTCTCCTCATCTCCCTACTGAGTCGGCTGTTAGGGACGTTCCAGAACTACAGCGCGCTACTTCGCAGGAGCATAGGGCATACACACGGAATGGAAAAAAAAACGTCGCTCAACCATTCCATCACGCCAAAAAAAGAAAGAAGAAGAAGAAAAAAAATCACTTGTTTTCATCAGACGTATCGATGTTAATACATTTATACACTGCACACTTATCATTTGAGTGCAAAACTTTCCCCTTCATTTTTTCGTTCACCTTGTTAAGCTTTAGTATGTTCGTTTTTGCGTTTTGTTTTCCACATGGAGGATCATTTTTCATTTTCCTTTTCTTATACAGTTTCATTTTTTCGTTGAGGACGTTTGAATTTAGGTTTTTCTGCTCGTCCGGAATAATGAGGAGGTTTTCTTCCGTGGCTCTCTTCCTCTGCGCGCTGCAAATGCTGCTGCTGCTGTGAATGCTGTTGATGTTTTTCACGCTGTTCACGTTTTTCACGTTGTTCATGCTGTTCATGCTGTTGTGGTGATTCGAGGCGTAGTTACTAAAAATGCTGCTAACGGTTTGCAACTTGTTGTTTCTCGGTAGGGTGCTGTGCGAGAGGCCTTGTGGGGGGCTCTGACCGTTGCTGACCCTGCTGACCGCGTTGGACATACTCGGATTGCTCTGCATACTCGGCATGCTAGACAGGCTGCCCTTCGGCTGACCAACATAACTGTTGCTGCCGATGGCCCTGCGCTGGTCCTGGCCAACCTTGCGGTTGATCTTTATGCTTCCCACGGAGCTATTACTCGTGCTGCACTTCTTCTTCGTTATGTCCTCTATCAACATGCTGATGTTTCGGAATTCGCCTTTGCTTTTGTCTCTCTGGTTAGCCATTTTTGTCATCACCTGGTGTTGTATACTAGGGGAGTTTTTCTCCTGACTCTCCTCATCGGAACAAATAATTATGTGCGTGGCGGTGCCCATCTTCTTCTCATTTTTGTTGCTTTTCTTCTTGTCCGAATTCTTTTTGGACAAATCGTTGGATGGCATTTTGTTCTGTTTCTTTTTCGTCAGAGAGTTTGTCTCCTTGGTGAGGCTGTGTTTAATCGAGTCACTTCGTCTCTTCTTGGTTGGCACTTTATCATTACCCCCACCTGTTGATGCACCTGATGTTGTAATGTCAATGGCGGTGGTGCTGCTTGCCTTGCTTTTCATTCCCATGGCACTGTTCATACTTGATTGGCCATTTTTTCCACCCCCCCCCTGCTTCTTATTGCCTGCATTTTGGCTACTCCCCTTTGAATGGACCAGCAGCAAGTCATTACTGGCCATACTCCCATTGCTCCCAAGGCCTCCCCCTTTTTTGTTGTTGCCTTTATCCTGCAACTGGCCTTTCCCTCCCAATTTGCCTTTCGTCCCCTCTTTACCATGTTGCTGATCAGTAACCACGCCTCCCCCCTTGGCACTGTTTCGACTTCTATAATAGGCATTATTCAATTTGTGCATTTCGTTGGTGTCAAAAAGAAAAACCTTCTTATATCTGGATTTATCATATGATATGTCCACTTTGTATTTGTTCTGATAAAACTCTACCAGCGCCTCTACGTAATCAGGAGCAATAATGATGCTGGTCTTGTACCGGAAGTTAAACAGGTTAGTCAATATTTCGGACACCGTCATGTGGGGTAATTTCACAAAATGCTTATTGTGCTTCTCCACCAGAGCTTCAAATCCTGCTGATATCATATCTTTTAGGAAGCACTTTTGCTTAATAAACATTTTTACGTAATTTAAAATGTCGTACGAAATGTCTACAAATTTTTGAAAAAATATTTCCAACACTTGGTACTCTTCTTCCTTCTGTCCGCCATTGCGGTTGGCACTTTTGCTCGCCTTGGGACCATCCGGTTCGAGGTCCGTATAGCTTTCGCTGTTTTGGCCGGATCCCTTGGTTTTCTCTCCATGCTGCTCTGTCAATGGGGGGTCGGCGGCTACTATGGTGGGCTCTACTGTTGCGTCTACTGGTGCATCTATTGTTGCATCTGCGAGTGCTTCTACTGGTGCCTCTACTGGTGCCTCTACTTGTGCCTCTATTGGTGCCGCCTCCTTGCCATTCTCCCCGGCGCACTCCTTTTTCGACAGGCCACTGTTTTGCGCACAACTGTAGTCACTGCCCGCCACCTTCACCTCGTCCATCTGCTCGATGGTGCTATTATTCGAAAAGTGCATAGACACACTGTCGCAGTTTCCTTCCGCGTGCTCATTCTTTATGTTGACTAATTTGACCTTGACACCTCCTTCCCCTGTGGCTTCCCCTGCGGCATCCCCTGCGCTTTCCCCTACACCTTCCACTAGTTCCTTCTTCACCGCGCTGACCTTAGCAGACTGCGGAGTAGAAACACATTCCACGTTCCCCTCGTACTGGGGTACACTTTTGGGACTATCCGCCGCTTTCAAGGGAACATTGTTAGATGCCTTATCCTTTGCTTGATTAGCGGCTTCTTCTTTGCCTTGCATCTCCAGCATGGTGCTCTTCTTTTCCTTGCCTGCATCTCGTGCGTCTATCAATTTTTCACTTTCCGGAGCTTCTTTGCAGCTGGGCTTCGCATGAGCAATGCCATTCTTGCTGCGATCGATGGCCGCTTTGCTCGCGCCTCGACCGGGGGAGGAGCCCGTTTTCGGTCCCTTTGGGCCACGATTGGGGCTGCCCCGCTCAGATGCGTTGGCGATGCCGACAGAGGTACTCCCAATCGTGGCCCCCCCAATCGTAGCGCCCGTCCCCAATGCGCCCTGGCGAGCCAGCTTCTCCTTATACTCCTGGAAGGACCTCCACGAAGAAATATCCTTCAAGATACCATTCAAATGCGTCTTATTATTTTTTTCAAAAATTTGCGAATTTTTTATCTTACTAACGAACTCCTTCTCACCATTAATGAAGACCATAATGTTGTAGTGGAAGAGGTGTTCGAACCAGATTCTGCAAATATCTATATCGTTAAGCACGTTGGACGTTTTATTCATAATGGTTGTGAGCCACCTGAGCTGTTTGATATCGATGTCGACGTAATCGTCTAACGTTTTGTCAAAATGGTTAAGCATGTTCTTTTGTTTATTTTTGACTTGGACAAATATGCTGTGAATGTTCCCCTTTATGATGGCTTGTATATCTTCTATGTTAACCTCCAGGGGGAGAGCATCCAATTCCTTTTCTAATTTTTCGAAGGAATTGAAAAATTCTGGGGGAATGTGCCTTTGGAACTTTTTCCAGGCAAAGGGGTTGAATATGATGTCCTCTTCAGACCCTTCGGACTCTTCTGCGTCTTCGCCATTTTCGTCTTCGGACGAGGATGCTTCGACGTCTTCCTCACTTGATGAATATATAATAAAATTTCCTATATTTTTCTGATAATTCATTATGCCCATGTGGGACTGGTTTAACTCTATGACACTCTCATCAGACGAGTCAGAGCAGGAAGAGCTAGATGAATCGTACCGCTTGTACTTATCACCGTGTTTGCAGAAATACTGGTCGCCCCTTTTTTCCTTGCCCTTCTTCACCTCGCTCGTGCACCATTTAGTTTTATTCTCTTCCCCCTTTTCATCGCCAGAATAGACGTACTTACACTTGGAGCTGTAAAACGAGATGAAGGAGTCCGGGTTTATGTCCACATAATCGTCGGACATGTCCGCACTCCACACACTGTATTCATCTTCTATCTGTCTGGTGAGAATGATTTCATTTTTTGTCTTGTTCAATTCTTTATACATTTCTTCGTCATCCAAAAATGGATCGTTAATGTCGTAGAACATGTCCCCCCCTCCAACTTTGAAATACGTTGTTGGGTCTCCAACTAAATGCTGAAGGTTTATCCTATCCGACAACGAGTTTATACACTTTAACAAAGGGTCTAACGACTCTTGCTTCTTTTTTTGGAGGTTAAAATTTTTAAAATCTTCACCAGGCACTACGGAGGTACCTACCCCCATTCCTATGCTGCTAAAATTTTTTGGAGCATTTTTCCCTTTCACCATTGTCGTTTTGTCATTAGAAATGGGCATGTTTCCCATGCTCTCCATATTTTCACATGAAAAATGTGTGCTGGGAACATGTCTCATCATGTCAACATTTTCGCTAATTATTATGTTACTACTACTGTTGTAGCTTTGGTAATACACAAAGTTGCATTCATTTTTATATTTATTTAAACATTCCGAGTAGAAGTCAACCAGGATGCACCTATTTTTTGCACCGCCGAGGTTGACAAATATGTTGGTGCCATGTTTATATCGCTGAAGTATGAGGTCTTTCTCAATCACATTTTCTTCCTCTACTTCTTCCCCTTCATCGGACAAATTGGCTTCATCATGCAGGAGATTTTCCTCCTCCGTTTCCCAGCTGCTTTTATTTTTTATCAGACCGCTTTTCCTTTCCGGCTTTTCCATGTCCACATTCCTTTTCATGACAGGGTTAGGTAAATTATTATTGTTCATGTCCATTTCATTTTTGCTTACGCTTATGCCAAAAATCTCTGCGTTATTTTCACTTTTATTTTCTACATTGTGGAAACTTCCGATTTCTACTTCTTTTTTTTCTTCATTCACATGAGAAGATTCTATTTTGTTAGTCTTACCCTTTCTTTCATTTTTATAAAAGGCCTCTGTTTCGTGTTCTCCTCTTTGGTTACTTTTTTCGATAGTAGCCATTGATTTTCATTATACTGAAAAATGTATGAATGGGTCAGGCAAAAAAAAAAAAAAAAAAAAGCTAGCTCATTGGGCTTACGTATCCCATTCGCAGCAACGATGGTTCTGCAAAGCTGACTCGGGTTTACTGCAAGTGAGTGGAGCTTATTGCAGTACAGTTGCGTGGAGATGAGCAGCTACGCTTGGGCATCCCTAACCGGTGTTCATTTCTTCGGCTAAAGGTCCAAAGTTTGCTTGACCCCACTTAGCCCCCTTTTGCCTATTAGGCGTGTTTCGTGGCTCTGGCGTTTTGAGCGTTTGGCCCCTTCGGCGAGTGTGCTCGATGCGCTCCTTTTGTTCGTTTTAATTTTTACGCCGCTCAGTTGTTGTGTGCGCTTCAATCGGCATGTTTTAGGTAACCCTGTTTAACTCAGCTTTGCTTTGCTTTTTGCATAATTATGCAAATTGTATGTGTTCGCATGTGCGTGTATCTTTGTTTCGTTTTTTTTTTTTTACTTTATTTTGTTCATCTGTTTCATGGTCTGTTGATTTGTTGGTTTGTCGGTTTGTTGGCTTGTTCGTTTATTGGCTTGTTCCTTTGTTGGCTTGTTGGTTTATTTAATTTTCATTTCTTTCTCTCCCTTAGCAATATTCCTCGGCGCGTTTTTTTTTGCTTAATTCCGTTCAGAATTTTTGATGTGCTTACTTGGTTCGTTTCGTTTATGTGGTTTGTTAGACTCTTATAGTGTCTTTGTCGCTACTGGATGCCGAGCGGCTTACTTTACCGTTGCAGTGCATTTTACCCAATTAGGAAAAATGTACACTTGTATGCGCCATGTCATGTATTGCACTGCGCTATGCTACATGTTCGTACGGACGACCAACTTGTGCGTGTTTTCCCCGTCTGCACGAGACTCGCCAAATTCGTGTGCGCGGAGTTAAAGGTAAAAATATGCACGGACATGTGCAAGGGTGTACAAATAAAAAAGCGAAAACGTGTGGGTACATGTCCCTCAGTGGCATGTACAAAGGGCTACGCTCGCGAACGTGGTGTGTATGGCGAGCGTTTCTGTATTATACGACCCCCCCATACGTAATATACGCTTATGGATTAATGAAAGTGGGGAAATTTTAAACGGGCACATTGAATGTATATATATGTATCCATATATGTACATATGTGCGTCACAAATGTATACATATCTATTTACACATCATGCAGAGTGTGGAGTTACCCAACAAATGAATTTTGGATGCTTCGCGAAACGGCCTTTGCGCAATGTTTTGTCGACAACTACTCTATAAAATAAAAAAGGAAAGGATTGAATGCGTTAAAGTGAGCAAGTGCAAAGAGGGATATGCGCTAACTCCCCTGCGAAAAGGAATTATCTTGAGTAAGCACGCATACAGGTACATTCATATAAGCACGTCCATACGCTCCATCATACGTATTATTTATAACGCACATTATTTTTTTGCCCAACTTTGCCTTTGTTAAAAAAGCATAATCTTTGCGTTAAAGAATTTTTCTCTATTTCTTTAGCGGCATTAACCTTCCGAAAAAAAAAAAAAATAAAATAAACAAATAAATAAACAGATAAATAAACAAATAAACAAATAAATAAATAGCAATAAAATAATGAGAAAATGCAGAAAAATAATAAAATAAATAATGTCATAAGATATGGTACTAGACGTATATATATACCATTGCGTTTCCCTTGTTTTAACATTTCTCTTCTCTAATTAAAAAAAAAAGCGCATTTTTCATTTTTCGTGCATCACACCTTTGCCAATACAATTATATAAATATATGTAGTACACAAAAGTTCTCTTTTTTTAGCAAATATATATTTCTTCTCATTTTATCCTCCTTGCAAGTAATTCAATATATGCTACCTTTTACTACTATTGTTTAGATCCCAAAAAAGTTGGGTAATTTTTAAAATTTGTTCGTGCCTCTATTGTCTTATTTGCTATTTTGCCACATTAGAAATATATTTACTCCTCAGAACAAAAAAAAAAAAAACGAAAAAAAATAAAGAAAAACCGAGGAAAAAAATTAAAAAAAAAGCGAGAAAAAAATGAGGAAAAAATGAAGAAAAAACAACGAAACGATTAAAAGTATCACAAAAGTAGAGAAATTAGAAAAAATCGCAAAAATTAAAACAACCAAATGGGTTAATTGTCAAACTTGTTACCTTTTAAACCAGAAATGCGTGCATGCCAAATTCTAATTTTGTAATCAACCTCAGCGCAAAAAAGAAAAGAAATGGATATCTCGTTACAGTGCGAGCCAAATGCCAGGACGCGCCGCATAAATATACAGCGTGTCTTTGGGTAGTACATATGCGCATGCCCTTCTACATACAATAACATTCCGTTCCAGCGACTCTATTTGAAAATCGTTTCCCCAAAGGGAGAGAAACTCTTGTTGTTCATACAATATTGCAGGTTCGCCTTTTTTACAAATTGGCACGCAACAAAGAAGAGACAGCACCCCCGACAGTTTACGTGCCGCGTTATGGTTGTACATTCACCAGCACGGAATACTCGTTGGGTGAACAAAAAGCAAAGAGAAAAAAAAGGACAAAGGAACCACTAATATGTTTGATTGCAAATATGTTGCCAAAAAATATGTCTAACTGGGACGTTGCTCATTTTTTCGCGTGCCACTTCACGTCTTTTGGCCAATCACCTGTGCATGTGATTCAAGTATAGCCAGTTTTACCCCCCTCCGAATGGATCTGTCGATTCCTACGCCGAGTAAAACATATCCTTATCCAACATTTGGGGTTATCTGCACACCTGTAGGGTCTTCTACCCTCTTCTCCCTTATTTGCAAAACCGTTCCAAAACAGTAAAGGAGGATGGGGTTGGTCTATAACCTGCCCTCGCTTCATTTGTTCTTCTTCTCGCGGAGGTGTACTATTTTTCCACAAGGTAAAATTTATATGCTAAAAAATGGGTCAACATATAGGTGCAAAATGAAAAGACGAGGAAATACCTATGAACAACTCAAAGATGCTCAAATGGGGATAAAGAAAAAAAAGAAAAAAAAAAAAAGACAAAGAAGTTGTACTAATAAAATGCGCAGGGAGGTGGCTCCCTTGGTGCATGTTGTCTCTAAATATATCACTAATTTTTTCGCTTCTTCTTTTTCGTTCCTGCCTTCGCTATGCAAAATGGGAACCCGTTGCGACGGTTAAACTGTGCTCTCATAAACAGGTTCGAATTCGCGCAATGGAGAGGTGACAACACAGGCTAATTTTAGGCTTCTCTTTTTTTTCGCAAAAAAATAGCGACAAATTGAATTGCATATGGGAAGAGGGGCATCAATGGGATACTCATTGTCGGAAGTTTTTGTGCCGTTGCCCATTTTGTCTCTTCTCTCCTTTAGAAACCTCGTGGTGTTTCTCCCTTTTTTTTTTTGTGGGGGGATGGGGGGTTCCCCCATTTTAGAGGGGCAGGAAGCCCTTGAGGTGCTGAAACTTCTTCTTGAAGTTATACAGATGTTTGTTAAATTTTATATAGAGGACAAACAAAACGGAGGGGGTCTTATGTGTGGGGTAAATTTTAATGGAGGAATTGAAATAGACTAGAGCCTTCTGAATATTCTTAGCCACCCCTATGCCGTAATAATGCATGAAGCCTAAATTGTAGCAGGCGTGTGATATGGTTTGAATGACGTAAAAGTTGTTGGGGTAGTACGAAATAATGCTTTTGTAATGGTGATATGCTAGGTGGTAGTCCACCTCGTTAAAGGAGAACTTTAATCCGTAGTTGAATCGCCAGCGGTCGTTAAAGATGAGGCCCTCTTCGTCGACGAAGTCGGCGGAGATTATTTCGTCAGACAGGTTAGCCTTCTTCGCCTCGTCAGACAGGTTAGCCTTCTTTGCCTCATCAGACAGGTTAGCCTTCTTTGCCTCATCAGACAGGTTAGCCTTCTTTGCCTCATCAGACAGGTTAGCCTTCTT